TGGTGCTCCTCACTCTCAAGTCACAGTCCTCTCCCCCTCCCTTCAAACCCCAAAGTCTAGGGTGGAGGTTTAAACCCCTCCTCAGTCTTACTCAGGCCTTCCAGGGCCTGGCCACACCATGTCTCCCTCTCCCCCCAGCTCAGCTTCCCTGTGAAAGGGAAGGGAGGGCTGCTCTGGCACCACCAGGCTTCTGGTCTGAACCAGTGCAGGCATGTGCCTGTATTTCCAAAATGAAAAGGGAATGTCTGCTCACTTGCAAACCGGTTCAATCTTTGTATGTTAGACTAACCTGCAAAGACTGAATCAATTCAGGCTTGGGCTTTTCGAATGTCTGTCCCTAGCCTGAATGCAAAAAGTCTTCTGTAATGAATGCAATATTCAAACACTAGATAACTTAATGGTCCAGTGCATTACAATAGAAAAGCCTTACTCGAGCATAAAAAGCAGAGTCAAAAGTAGAACCAGAGACAGAAGGCTGTCTTCATCTACCCATATATCTTTCTTGTAGCTATAGCACTATCATGACAACTCAAATGAGCTTTCTAAAACAATGTTGGAAGAAGAAATTACATTAATGTAGTTATACTCACCAACTAGCATCTCAAAAAGAAAAACTCCTACAGACCACCAGTCGCATTCCCGTCCATAGTAGCCATCACCTCCTTGTGACTTAAGTACTTCGGGTGATATGTAGTCAGGTGTTCCAACAGCTGTATCACAACGCACCATGCCTGTCTGTGTAACAAAATGGTAATAATAATGACAAAAACTATCAAAATACACTTAATTAAAGATAAAATTAATATATTCAATGTTTCAACAAAACAACGTTTAGTTCATGTATGTAATTTTGAGGAAAATAAATGATTCAACATGATTAGCTCGGAAAATATACCATCTCAAACTGTTTCTATTACAGAAGTGTTTTAGGATAGAAGGGCTGTTGGTTGTAGCCATGTTGGTCTAAGGACACAGGCAGACAAGGTTCTTTGAGTAGATGTGATTTCTTTTATTAGATCAACTAAATAGTTGGAAAATTGTTCTTTGCAAGGTTGCAGGCATATCTACCCAAAGAACCTCGTCTGCCTTAGGATAGAAGGAAAATTCATGACATTGCCCATTAATTCTTTTAAAAAGGAACAACTTCACAGATCCGTAAAAAGAAAAATGCAATTTAATTTAAGTTCCAATACATAGGAAGCCAAGTGCACACACTATGGGATTGAGTCAAAGCCTGCTGAAGTCAACACCAGTCCTTCCAGAGATTCTGGGGGCTTAAAGCTATTAAGATTTTCCTGACCACACAGTTTAAGTTATGAAGTCCAGTCGTGGATCCATTTTTTCCATCTTAGCATGTTTTTATTTTTAAAAACTTCATTTAAAAATCAAATAAAATCCATATTAGAAGAACAGGAAGGCTATAAAAAGTGCAGTGTTTGAGTTAAGTGAAGTTTTAAAATGCTTGCTCAATTAATACAACAGCAGACAGGGCCTGTTTCCAGCTGACAGGCCAATAAAAATAGATTGTCATGTCAGGTTTGCTAATGCCCTGATTCAAAGAAGTTACATAAAGCTCAACATGTAGAGATGGAGAGAATGAAAGGAAATCAGAAGAGAGGTTTTATTCCAGGGAAATGCATTTTTCTCTCGTTCTCTCAATAGACAGGATATTGTGCTTCCAACAGCACAATATGGGAAAATGGGAAGACTTATGCACATCTGCAAGTCACCTACAGACAGCCTAAAGGAAACATGAACTCCTACCACTCGGGGTTATACTTTAGGCATCTTTATCTATAGATTCTATTCGGCCTCCCAGAGATGACAGCAACAAGGAAAATGACCCATCTACTTTCTGGCCAACGACCTGGTTGTTAGGGCAATGACTTGGGAGTTTGGAAACTTAGGTTTGAAGTCCCATGCAGCTTCCAATGCTGTTAAAATAGTGACTGGATAATGTGCATAAACAACACCCAGAAGCAGAAGCAAAACTCAGGACTGACTCCTTTCCAAAGCAATGTCTTCCTCATTGTCTCAGAGTCAAACTCCCACTTGCTTCCTCTCATTCCTGCCTCAAGAACTGCATTCCTTCCCATCCAGTGCCCAGCTTCAAAGAGGGGAAGACCCACTTACCACAGCCTGGTGGTTAGGGCACTTTTGTGAAAACAGAAGATGTGGGTTCAGTCTGATACTGGGCCTGTAACCTAGATCTCTCAGTTCCTGAATGAGTGCCCTAACCACTATACAATATGTGGGCAGAAACTCCCTGTAATGGAGGAGCATAAGACTAAAACAAGCTTTACCTCTCTGTTACAGAAGCAGAGATGCTAACCATTTTCCAGGTATTCAGGCAGAGTGAAACAGGATCACAGTAACTGAAATAAGTGCTACGTAGACATCTAAAAGGCAGTACAGGATCTGGGTCAAAGCATCTAGGCTGGTTTAGAGAACACTGCTTTGAATTCCTCAACAATTTCTTAAACAAGGAAGTTTCCTCCCAACTGTCCACCCCTTTGTGCTGTTATTTTTCTTTTTTGTTCTGTTTTATACTGAAGAAGCTAAATGCTTATGTGTACAGCTGCGAAAAGAACTCAAAGAAAAAAAACCCAGAAGTTAGGGTGGCATATCTTCTCTAGGTCATTTTTCCAAAACCAGTATAGTATTTACACAGCAGGGATTTCTCCCTCTTGTGTAGGAAATAGAGCAGGAACTGGAGACAATCCAGAACTCTTTCAATATCAAGGTGTCCTTTTCTACAGTTTACCATGTAAAATATTTCCTCCATTTCATTTAGTCCGAGATATTCTAGGTTTATGAAGCCTCAAAACTTAAGCTACTAAAAATAATATTAATAAAACCTCTCAATTTAAAAAAAATGTTGATTTCCAATCTGCCATAGTTTTATATACTGTTATTCCTCACAAGAATGCTGCATATAAGTAAAACTAATAAAATCTTATGTTTAGTTCAAGTTGATTAAAAAGGAAAAAATGGAGGGGTACAGTATTCTTAGGGGTTTAAGTATTCTTAGCTTTTGTGGTTCCCAAAGAAATCACTAATGACTTTCCAAAGGCTGGAGGACAGTATGATCTTATACTATGAAGCACAATGACATTTTATTATTGTCTCTAGTTAGGAGTTTTATAGTGATCTCAGCAGTTTTATTACCATATTTACATGAATCTAAGATGACTCTGAATTTAAGATGACACCCCAATAATTTGATTGTATATACGGAAAATGTATACATTTGTCATAATTTTCCATGTATAGAATCTAATTATTGGAGGATCACTGTTACAGGGACTCAAGCAGGAGCCCTGTTACTTAGACAAGGTCAGGTCAGACTGACCAGACGGTGACCCCTACGAGGTGGGAGAAATCACACACCCAAGACAAGAGTGGGTGATTAGCCTGTGAAAAACCGGCATAAAACCAGCAGCGGGACTGAGTGCCTTCGGGCACAAGAAAAGGTAGGAGAGACAAGGAACCTGTCTGATGACCTGGGAAAAGACATGGGGACTCCGGGACCTGAGACGAAAGACATCAGGCAGGCTGCTTACCTTCCTCCTCAGGCGATTCTGGTGAGTGTGAGGAGAGCTGAGACACTGCATAGTGGCTTGGCGGGGGAATCCCAAGTAGTGATAAAAACCCTGGGATGATGGATGGGCAAGGGGGTCCCAGGCTGGACTAAACCCGGACCCCAGATCCACAGCTTGGCCACGTGCAGCAGTGCAGAGAGCCAGACGATAACTTAGACAAATAAATCATTTATTTGTCTGCTCCAGGCACTCAATTAGAAGCTAGCCATGTGGGGAACACGCCTTGCTAATAAGACAATCAGTGCTTAAAATGTTCAGCACTGCATTGTAACTGAAGAGGCATCCGGTGTTGCAAGATCTGGTCAGCAACTCAGACATGTCTCACTAATGAGGTAATTGGCAAGACTTTTGTTTCTGTGCTACTTTTCTTTGGGAAATAAACTTGCATAAAGTATGTACCATCTGGGCGGTTTTATTCGATCCTTAGCCATAAAAGACCACTGATCTCCTTCTTTTTCCTTTTGATCTACATCATGGCAGGTGAGTACAGCGGGGAGACGCAGCTAGGATCACCCTCCTGCTCACAATCATCTTTAATTCATCCCTTCCACCACTGTAGAGGGACAGGCAGTGGGGGGCAGGGGGAAAGGGGGGGAGGTTATATGGGGAGGTCAAGCAGCTGGATCCCCTGTTTGTGCTTGCCGCCCTGCCATCCTCTTTTAGACCAAGATCAAAATGAGCCTAACATTGAATCAAGTTAAAGGTCCACAGTACACAGATCAAACGCTATTTCTTTTTATTTTAATGAAAGGAAAATGAGGCTCATTACAAGACTGAATTCAAAACTCAAATGACTAAAGCAAATTAGCTAATTACAGTGTGCTTGCCACCTGTCACTCAGGGGTCTAAAAGTCACCAGTCTAGCAGGGAAGCATCAGAGAAGGGAAGATGGAGTGCATTAAACCAGAGCTGTTGAACTCACCTGGCCCCATGGGCCATGAGAATCTCTGAGCCAGCCTGGGGCCAGACCAGGACTGATCCACCATGGAGCAGGTGCAGTGCTAGGCCCAGTCTGCATGCTGCATGTGCCAGGCCCTAGGACCAGCATGGGATACATGCAGCCCATGGTGTGCAGGCTAGATACACCACTGCAAGCAGCATGGGGCATTGATCTACGGCGCTGCATGCAGCCCACACCCTGGATCCCCTTTGCTGCTGATGCCACGCCAGATCCAGCCGGTGCACCATGGGCAGCATGTGCCCTGTGCTTGCCTCATGCAGGGTATACCCCAGGGCCAGTGCATGTTGCACACCGCATGCAAAGTTGGATCATCCGCATGTGCTGCACACAGCACAGGACCAGCACTGGCTCCAGGTCTGGCAGGGCACTGCATGTTGCGTGTACACCATGCTCTCCCCTGTGCTGCCTACAGCATAGGTGGCTAGTCCAGCCCTGTGCACCGCATGCAACACATACTAGCCCTAGCGCTCACTGTGCACATGGTCCCTGGGCCAGTATGGGATGCGCACAGCTCACAGTATGTGGGCTGGACTTGGCACTGAACACAGCATGGGGGTCTGGGGCATGGTCTGCATGCACCGCCCTGGAAAGACCCCCTGAGCTGCTTGCAGCACTTGATCTAGCCTGCAAGCCATGGGCAGTGTGTGCCCTGTGCTAGGCCCACAGGCTAGCGCACAATGCACAGGCTGGACCCAGCACTGCTTGTGGCACAGGGGGTCCAAACCCCTGTACTTCCTGCAGCACATGTACCACATGCAGTGCACAGGGCCAAGGCCAGGGCCAGGGCCACCAACCCACAAGCTGGATAATACAGCTCCATGGGCAGGATTCAGTCTATGGGCCATATGTTTGATATTATATAGTTTGTGCAGTGAAAGTAGCCATAGAACCTGAAGACATAAACCATTATATAGCAGCTTAGTTAATATTCAGATAGACATAAATGTGCAGTAGGACTTTAACATCTATAAGGCCCAAATCATTTATTTAGATTTACCAATAAAAGTGTTGTTTACTCAAAAGCTGATTAGCCTGGCTATACACTTACAGCATAACCACTCAGCTGCTTAAGTCACTGACAAGCAAATAAATTAAACTTTTCCATTCAGCAGCCCAGAATCAACGTGAGGGTGAACAATTTGCCTACTAATGGAATAAAAATCACGGTAGCATTAACAAAATAGAAGTTTGTTGATGCTCCAAGTAAATGCTATTAGTTTCTCAAAAAGTTGATGATTTATCATGAGCAGGAAAAAACCTGCATTTCACGCTACATTTACCCTTGTTATAAACAGGTGATAACTCAAAATAGCACTATAGAAAAAATAGTGCAAAGAGTAAATGAAAGATGACAAGGAAAGGAGGGAAAGAAGTATAAAATATTACTAGCTCAGTACAGCCAAAGAGGATCCCTCAAACCAAGATATCCTACTCCTAAAACAGAAGTGACAAAACAAAGAAAAAAGTTAGGGCCAAGAGCTTAACTACCTTTACAGTCATAGATAGTACATGACAACTTCCTATACTTTTGTCAACTATAAAAACCAAGGATATCGGGAATTATAGGTTTAATTACAAACTAATTTCACTGTCCTTATTAAGTGAAGGGAAAACTATAAACAAAGTATAAACTTAAAAATAAAAATCATTTTTGACAGCCTACTTTAGTTATCTAAATCATTTTAACTATACAAGCTTTACCATAACAACATCCCCTGAAAGAATGTGGCTCATCAGGCAGGACATTTTAACACATGGGCAATGAAAACACATTGTTCTGAACAAGCAGCAGCAGCAGCCCCACACCGTGTTTCATTAAGTACTCTACCTTGCTCTAACTTTTCAGTGTTACCAAATGCCACTAGGGGGTGCTATAGGAGTAATGATATACAGCAGAGACCACATGGGTTTGCTGCCTTCTCAGTTACAATTTCATTTACAGAAAAATGTCAGTTCATACATTACTCCAGGGTTACTAATGTTGAAATTAGGTGGTGTCTCATGAGCTGTTCAGACATGTGACTAAATAATGACCCTCAAAGATTCATAGTCTCTCAGAAATAACAAAAAATAAGTTTCCTTCTTTGCCATCCCAGAGTAGTTTATTATGGATGCTGTTCAACTACATTAAGTCCCCTTCTATTTAAAATAAGATGGCAAGAAACACCCCAGCAGCCAAGTGAGTCAGTTAGCTGAACTTTCATTCAGGTGTCATAAAACAAAATGTTAACGCTGTATATTTTCCTAATGGATAAAAAACACGTAGCAGCAAACCTACTTCATCCATTTTCATACAAGTGCCAAAATCTGCCAGCTTCAGGTGCCCATGTTTATCCAAAAGCATGTTGTCAGGCTTCACATCTCTGTGGATCAAGCCCATGGAGTGGATTGCATCCAGAGCAAGAACAACTTCAGCTGTGTAGAATTTAGCCCATTTTTCAGGCACATCATAATTGCTCATAAGGTTTACAAGATCTCCACCTGGCATGTATTCCATTACCATGTACAGGTATTTGTCATCTTGAAAGGCACAAAACAGCTGAAACAAAATGGAGAGCAGATTATTTCAGAAAAATATCTCAGGCAAGGGAAAGGGGGACATGGGCGGATGCTATTTTGCATTCATGTTTTACCAAACTCCAAATCTTCTGAGATTTTTAAGGTTATGGTAAGGCAACATTTAGATTTTCAAGTTTTAGGCATTTCACATAGCATCTCAGTCTCAGAAAACCTAAAAGATTACTCATTCATTCCAATGACTAACCAACCATCTACCCCTGTTTCTCAGCCTAAATCCAGCATAAAAAGACATTCTAAATTAGTTCCCTTGAGATGCCAGCATAATTCAAAGTTCTTGAAATAGCTAAATGATGACTCGTATCTCAAACAGTTTTAAAGATTCATGTATGTATTATTCAGATATTTAGAAGCTATGGCATAACTGCTATTTAAAATTCAACAGTATTTATTACATCTAACTTCACCAGTCTGACATGACAAAAATAGGTTAAGCAATATAACCCTGAAGTGAGGAAGCTGACGAACCTAACTTAAATGTTTAATTTTAATACCCTTTTGGATCTAGTTACATTTACTATTTTAGTTACTAGCGGCATTAATGTATTTCTTTACAAAAGTATTTCAGAGGTTTTTTCTGAGTAATAGACTCTAGGCATTTTCATTTTTAAGTAACCTCTGCTTTAAGGCCAAGGGCATTACCATCTGCTTGCTCAGTGACTGGCATGCAACAAGTCTCAGAAATGGCTACTCAGCCCATTTCTCAGAGAACAGGTTTAAACATGATGATAGTCATATTTTAGGCTTGCTTAGTGACCTACTATTACATAGTTTCATAGTTGGTAGGGTCGGAAGGGACATGAGCAGATCATCAAGTCTGACCCCCTGCCATGGGCAGGAAAGAGTACCGGGGCCAAATGATCCCGGCTAGGTGATTATCCAGCCTCCTTCTGAAGACCCCCAGGCTAGGAGCGAAAACCACTTCCCTTGGAAGTTCGTTCCAGATCCTAGCCGCCCTGACAATACCGGTCCTCATATAAAATGGCAATTAAAAAGCAATTATTTAAGCATCCCCTATATCTCAATGACATTATTATACAAGTATTAATTGGATATAAAATTATACAACTATTTATACTACTATAATTTACTATTTATACTACCTTATTTAGTTTTTTTTCCTTTATAGCTCTCAGCCATTCAACAAAAGTGTTCCCCCCGAGGGAAAATGAAATGAAGACTTGGTCAAGCTAATGGCAGTTAATAGCTGAAAACAGAATCACACCATCTTAAACCGAAGTGTTGTGTTGTATCCTACTGGACTACACTGTCAAAATACAGCATTGCTATTTCATGGAAGGCATATACACAACTATATTGTCTTACTCCAAAAGTAGTATGTATTAAATATATTTTACTACAAAAAAAATAGTTGGTGTAAATATCTTATTCCTTTCAATGGTAAATGCTACTTCAAATTCTGAAAAGTAAAATTATTTTAGATTTTTCTTGATATACCAAAAAGATTTTCCTAAGCCACAGTTTTAAACAAAAATGGATTAGTTATTAAAATACTCCAAGGCACTAGAGAGGATGCAGGCAAATTACACTCGGATTATATGACTGAAAGCAAATTACATAATTCAGATTGAGAAATATATATATATATTTTCTCATTTAATACAATGTGTAATTAATACAAGTTACTTCTTGCTACAAGTAGTGTAGTTTAATCTAAAAAACCAGAGTATGCAATCAATGTTCCCTCTAAGCTATAGCAATCCGTGAGCGTGCCGCTTCAGTCCCGCCTCTTAGGGGGAACCTTGATCACTACACCTTAGTGGGAACACTGCTGGTCAGCATGTCAAACCCACCAGTCTTCTCTCCCTCCAGTTTCTGCACCAAAGCTGAGAGCCTTCCCCTTGCCCTGAACCGAGCCTTTTCTGCTCAGTGGCTCCAGTTCTTCCCCTGAGGATGAGATTCCTCTTCTTAAAGATCAATCTCTCCTTTAAATCCTGAGCCTCAGCCCTGCCCTGCAAGCCCATGCCCTCTGAGAACTTGGCCTGCACAGTACTTCTCAAGAACAGCCAAATCCCCTTTGTCTGAGGGTGAAGCCAGCAGGGCTCAGGGAGAGGTTCACCCAAAGGGCCTGGGGAGCGGAGCAGTTCCCCAGAGCCAGAGGATCCCGTGCCATGCCCGGCTCTGCCCCAGTCTCAGCCCCCATCCCCACCTCGCCTTGGGGGCTGCTCCGGCCGCAGCTGCACTCTCCCTCCCCGCAGGGATGCCGGTGTGGTGAGGAACGGAGCGGCCCCCACTCAGCTGAGCGGTGAAGGGTACCGCACTCCAAGGGCAGCGCCCAAAGTTTCTGGGAAGCCACAACCCTGCTCCTCTCTGGGAAGGTCCTCGGTGCCAGGGGTCACTATCCCCCAGCCACAGCCGGCAGTGGAGCTCCTCTGCGGCCCTGGGGGAGCCCGGTTCCTCCAGCTGTGTGAACAACCCCCACAGTGCAGTTACTGCACGGCAATATTTTTTTTTATTGTGCGCGGCCGCGCACGCACACAGCTTAGAGGGAACCATGTATACAATTACGTTAGTTGTGATAAACATGCTAAAACTAGCAATTCTCGTGTTGCAGGAAAGAAACTGGTTATCAAAAGGAGATTGAAGAATTTCTCACTGTAGAATTATTATGATAAGTTAGGTGTATCATATGTATTTAATGTCGTCTTTGAAGGAATCTATCAACGTTTTCTGAGTTTGTTCATCAAACAGACTACTTAATTAGCAAGTCAGTTGCTCATATCTCACATAAAGCAAACAGCTTTGTGCTTACTTTTTAATATTTAAAACCAAAGCCACACACTTGAAGATGTTTAAAATTGTAACTTTTTAATTCTTATATTAAAATACAAAGAATTTTTCCATGTTTTTTTTTTGTCATTGAAAATTATAAAAAGCATTTATATAAACAGAAGTTAAATCTACCCTTCGCTTACCTAATATATTCAGAAACACACTTAACATTTGTAATATTGTAATTGTTCCCACTTTAACAGTGAATCTGGCAGAACTGAAAAAGATAGGTAAAAAAGGCATGTCCATTCCAACATATATCTGCAATCACTCTATAAATTAGACCCCAAACTGAAACTAACATTTTTAAATAAAACAAACAACAAAATGCACAACAAAATTATAAAAACGATCCTTACCTGAACAACCCATGGACTGTTGGCAAAGGCCATGATATCTCTTTCTTCCCAGAAAAAGGCTGAATCTGATCTTTTGATCATTTCAAATTTACTAAGAAGCTTCATTGCATAAACTTTCTGAGTCAATTTATGGCGAACCTATTGATTTAAAAAAAAAAAAAAAAGACAAGGGGGAGAATTAAAAATTCCAAAACTGACAGACAACATCAAGGAAAGTAGCAAGTAAGCTTAGTCATTTCAGTGGAAAACAAACTAACTCCCTTAAAGTTAGTCTCTGTGTCCATTATTACAGATACAAACATGTCAGGATATGCCGATCGTGTACATTTCCCAAACTTTAAAAGCTTTTACCCCGACCACCATAAAAAACCTTCAAAATAGTATTGCTAACGTTAATTAAGGCATATATTTGCATATTAAACACGCTCCAAATAAGGAGTTTAGCAACTAGAGCTGGAC